TCATTTTTGCAGCATATTATAGCATCACGGATTCTACTGACGAACGAAGTGAAATTAGTTTAAGGAACGAAAAAAATTATATATTCAGTAAGGTACGAATCATGTTTTATTTATTTTTATTGATATCTAAAATTGCACGTGATTCACATCTTTTGTTCTTAATGTAGGTAAAAAGTTACGAGGTTATATGGTAATCCCATGAGTATAGTAAGAGATGGTTTTCGATCTTTGTTCTAGACGATTTGTTAATTTGCCCGATCTCCGCTCTAACAATAATAATTCATTCTGCATTTAAGTTAATTTATTTGAAAGGAGTACGTAAGATTGTTAGATAGCCAAGGTATCTAGAAAAAGTTCTAATTAAATCACGAATATGAATTTTCACGAAACCTAGACTAATATTTAATATCAGTATGAGATGTGTATGCGTTAGATATTAAGAATTAATAAATCGAGGATGACATTAATATATGATTGTTGGTAATATGTTACAATAATTTAATTTGCACTCGTAATTATAATTATAGTTGATCCGTTGCTATTACGCATAATCTCTTAATGTATAAAGGAATACTGGATGGTACGCACGATGATGGCGATTGTTTATCACAACGGAACCGATGTTAAAAGATGGTAATTGTGAATGCAAGAAAACCAAGAGTGGACATGCATTTGCTTAAATGCACGTGATTCATTTTTAATGATTCTAATTTTAAATGGACGCATGACTAATAAGGAAAGAAACCATTAACGTATAAGCAATTGTTATCAACGGGTTATTTATGAGTTGAAAAAATACCTATCGAAAATAAGGAACCATTATAGGGAGTGCCTCATTAGAAATTTTAAAATAATGGGATAAGAAAAATATGCATTGCATGTTTTTCTTATTGGAATGAGAGAAGTGCTGCACCCGAACGATTATCAGGGATCAAAGGTTATCGCGAAGGATTTGCAAGAGACAGACTTCTTTTTGAATTGCTTTAGTAATGCACCACATTTTCGACCAATCCTTTTCAATTCGCGTTATTTTGAATAAGTTATCGCATATGAACATAGGGTAAAGCAGATATTTAAATTCATCATAAAAAATAAAGGGTGATTATATCTTTATTCATCAATAAAAAATTAATATTAACCATGAAACGATTTACAGTAAATCATATTGTAGTATTGTAAAGTTTATATTCTCTAACAAATTTAAATTACTGTACATTCAATTAATGTTAACTCATTTTGATGTTTTATTTACTACTTCATTCTTTTTTACCCAATGAATTAAATAAGAATTGACAGGACCCAATAATTGAATTTTACATGTCAATAAGTAATCTCGAACCATATTTTGAAATCCATATAGATACATTCTTCAGAGTTGTACACATGCATCGCCCTATTCCAATTTCAATGTACCGACAATAAAGACATAAAATTGGATTTCTTATAAAAAATGCCCTAAAATGATCAAAATTACAATATTTGATTAATGGTAAGTGATGGCTGCAGGTAAATCATAGACGTACGTATCTAGAAGCTAGAAGAATTTTGTAAAAAGTTAATTGAAATTATTTTATTAATTTATGGTTTCACGCGGTATACCACAAAATGTAGAACAAATGGTTTATGCGGTAAATATTAAAGTCAATCAACAAGCAATTTTCTCGAATATCATCAAATCGTGATTTGTGCACGAATCCTTTATCTTATTGCTTAGTTGATCGATTTAAAAACCTGATTGCGGCGGCCGATTAGTTAATTTTATTATTTTTTTCCTCAGGAGTTTGACTGCAGGTTAGGTTTATTAATTTTTTTTCACAGGAGTTTGACTGCGCATTTAATAATTTGTTGACAGAGGGAATGTAGCTCAATTAAGTATAAATAAATAAATAAATAAATAAAATAAAAATAAAAGGTCACCGAATAGATATGCAGTGCATCGTTGTAAATGATAGAATACAATTTTCATAAACTAATATTCCTTTCCTTAAGAAGTTTTAATGCATCTGGGTGATTATTTAGGGCCGCCAACCTTATGTATTTCAAACCCAATTCTTCATTCACTGGGCACAGTAACTTCCCATTTAAGTACATATCACCCAAGTTAAATTGAGCAGAAACGTTTCCACCGTTGGCGGCTTTCGTGAGGTATTCGCTAAATTCGACAAACACTTTTTTTGTGAACTTGATGCCCGGTGTATTTGTTAGCGAGAACGCGTAACGCAATTGAGCATCGGGAATTCCATCATCCGCTGCTTCTTTGTATAATTGATTCGCTCTTACGAGATCCTTTTTGCCTGAAGGGTGATATCCTTCTGATAAGTAATAACCCATCCAATATTTTGCCGTTGTATTGTCTAAATCAGCATGAGCTTGAAAACATTCCCAAGCAGTGACTCGGTCTTTCCTCTTGTGAGCTTCAATACCTTCTTCAAGAGGAAGAATTTTTGGCAAGTTAAAGTTTAGGATCAGCTCAGACATTTCAGGAAGTTCTAGCTGTGGTGGATCCGGATGTTGAGATTTAGATCCATCCAAATCTAATGTTCCATCGGGAAGCAGGGATAGAGAGGAACCCAGTTGCAGGTTCGACGATAGCTTGTCTAATTTCAAGAAAAGATCCTGAAGGGATGCTCTGACACTTACATCTTGCTGCCAAGCTTCAAATCATGAAACAAAAAAAAAAAAAAAAAAAAAAAAAAAAAAAAAAAAAAAAAAAAAAAAAAAAATTTAATAAAATAAAAGA